ATATATATATATAGATATATATATATATATATATATATAATGCTTATTCGAACATACGTGCAGTATATTATGTATAGATATATGTGTATGTATATATATATATGACGAAATCACTAAAGAAAATAAACGCTTTAATGTGGAGGATAAGCTTAACACAAGTGGTGTATGTACATAGTAGAGGCAGGAAGAGAAGCGTGGACTTTCAAGTATGTAGTTTGGATATGTTCCAAAGCAAAAACCCGTAAGACATATTGACTATCAATTTTTATTTTATGGAAAATTCGTATATAAATATTTAAATTTTATTAAAAAGTTCAGATAAATATATAAACTATACAATTTCAATATAAATATTTGATTTTTTCAAAAATTCTACATATATATTTAGATTTTTAAAATTTTCTCATATAAATCTAAAGTTTAGGTATTTTCTAAATAAAAGTAATCAATACTATTAACGGATTTTAAGTGTGTGTGAAATTTTTTCAAAAGTTTATTTTTTTTAAAACGTATGTATTTATATGAAGGTTTTATAATTTAAATATTTATATGAGATTTTTGCCATAATAAATACGAATGATCTCTTTTGCTCGGTTGCTCTATCCCCATAGTTCTTTCTTCGACTAGATCGATTCATTTTTAGATGAAACGCAACTGATTGTGGACCTACATAATCATTTGAGATTTATGAATATTTATTTTCAAAAAAAAAATATTTATTTTCACTGTTTTCTATTTGAAAAATACTCCGTTCTTTTTCCTTTTTTTTTTACTCGAGAGTTTATCTATTCATAACCACTAAATTTAATTTTTTTTATACTATTTTCTAAAATAAAATCACAGTGTAAAGTTTGTTCTCTTTATACAGGATCGTGATCATAAACAATATTCTGTTCTTATATTGCACTTTTCCGAACCTTATTTAAATATATTATATTACATACTCATGAATTGGAATATCTTTAAATGTCTTTTTAATACGCATGCAAACAATTAGTTAATAAGAAACAGGAGAGTGGAGATTTTCGCTCGTAATTAAATTTTTAGAATTCCTTTGGCAATTTTATTTGGGTAATTAATTAATGCTTTCCAAATATACTGTTCATAATATATGATATATATATAACGGGTTCGTAGTCACATTCAAATAAACTAACTAAGATAATCTATTAGAAAACCGACAAAGCAAGAACATGTCCACTACCATTCCCGTCAAGTTTCTTCATTGGATATACCAATAATTAGGCGGACCAAATATTTGTTACGGAGTACAAAGACTAAGGATTTGACTGATTATAATAATAACCGCGAGGGAGAATTAATGTGTTAATTGGATTTGGAATCTCTAAATCACAAAGCCGTTTGGGGACTAATTACAGTCGTTAACACCAGCAGAACATATCATGGGATGCAAATCGTGTTTTGTCTGCGATTAAGAGACAAATGCTCACGCAAACTTAGCCGACTGTCGAGATTATGATCCCACAATCATGGTCTAATCTTTTTCTAATCATTCTTTTTTTATATTATTTAATTTAATTGCACTGCGACCCAGATCTGTAACCCTTTTCCCCTCATCCCCCCCCTTTTTTTTCCAAAATCAAAATTAGCAACGGATGTTTTAGTTTAAATTAAATCAATATATATATATATATATATATATTGTTAATTTTCGCACTGTTATAATTGAATTCCATGCATTGCTCCATGTGCTCTTCTGTGTTAATTAAATATTAAAGTTGGAAATCCACTTGGGATACACACGAATCACATTATCAGACCATGCATGCATGTATGTATGTATGTATGTATGTATGTATGTGCATTGTTCGCATGAAGTACTTATGTCGTCCCATCGTCGGACAACGGATTTGGGGTCGACAAAACACAGTCCAAGGTTAATCTATTCTGGTCTCCTCATCTTGTACGTTTCGAACACAAGTCTCCAATTATATCGTTTCAGACTTTAAATAAGTTCTACCAAAAATTTTATACTTCCGTGTAACATTTCTAGTTTCGGGGGAAGTCCCCATCCCAATGGTTAATAACAACTTGCGTTTCCTCCGGATGGTGAGTTCGAAACCTTAGAGCATAAGCTTTTCTTTGAATCGGTCAGTTTTGTCCGCGTAGTTTGCCGACTGTTGCGTGAAATTAGAGGATTTTCCTCCTGCCTAAAGGGTTGTGAAAGGTTCCACCTATTAACAAAAAAAAAAAAATTTCTAGTTTCATTGATCGTTTTCTTTCATATCGTCTTTACAAAATTGAATATGGATTTCACCCACTTTTTGGACTTGACTGTGGAACACTATTTTTTTTTTTGTTATAGACTTTATTATAACTTCTTCCCAATTTATATTTTATACTCATCATGGTCACTGTTATATTCGTTAAAAATGTTGTTCCAAAAAAAATATTTGCCGTCAATTAAACTTGTTAGGGATACCCTTTTATTTAATCAAAACATGACATATTGACTAAGCAATTGCATACTGAATATATAAGTTCTTATAGGATGGAGTTGAATAGTCGTGTCCAATAAATAATTGATGAATTATGTTAACTCCAAAAAGCAAAGATTGGACAGAGAATGACGACATTACGAAGAGAAAAGCGAGACAAACACGAGATTAGTACAAAACGTAATCTCTCCTTAACGACAAAAGTCTTCAAGGAAGGGAAAAAAATTAAACGTAATCAATCTAAGTGGGTTTCACTGTGGGGGAGTCCACATCTTATCCTGTACGGAGGCATTCTGGGACGTCGGATGGAGATCGTACGGCTGTGATGGGGCCGAGGGTTAACATCGGCTTATATGTTTAAGCGGAGTCAACAATGAGTTATCAGTCTTGGCGTTCATTGCCAATACTGGAAATGTGATATATGACGATTCCCGATCTCATCTCGCATTTAACTACGACCCTATTATATTTATATGAACCTAACATACGTGAACGTGGCAACGATAATTAGATTTTCATTATGCAATTGATGTTTGTGACAGCAGAAAATAACAAAGATTTAATACATATATATATATATATGTATACGTATGCATAATGAATATATAATTCAAGATAAATAGCTGTATAGGTTGCCATGCTTATAGTATCGGTAAATTCCGTGTCGACTCATTACAACTGCGACACGGGACATCATTCTTGGGGAGTTTAACACTGAGACGATAACGTTAGACATATACATATGTTTGTGTATATTATTTTCAGTTCTTTGTTGCTTGGGTAATTTAAAATTCACAGAGGGAACTAATCCTAGATGGACCGACAAGGGGTTCGAATGGTGCCATTAATGGAGGCGACAACACTCGGATTCGCCACTGATTCTTCCAGCTCCATGTCTCTCTCTCTCCATATCCAATAACCATACTGTATAGTCTGAGTACGCAGCTTAACAGTTGAGCAAACCTATGCACTCAGACACAGTTGCACCCTACATATAGTGCCCTCATCCTCAAACCCTCCAAACCCACTTCCCACATCCTCTCTCCCTCTCCCTCTCCCTCTCTCTCTCTCGTAAACACATGATCGCATTCTAAGTTGCACCAACAGTGTTTCTCCTTCTTGCACTGTACAATCTCTCTCTCTCTCTCTCTCTCTCTATCACACAAACGCAAGAGCTATGGCCTATCAGCCAAACACGTCTCTAGGTCTGAACCCACCTAACCAGCTAAACCTAGAGCTCGTTCTCGAAACTTCTTCGTCTTCTCCGACGGCTGCATCGGAGCAAAGAGTCTTCTCCTGCAACTACTGCCAGAGAAAGTTCTACAGCTCCCAAGCTCTCGGTGGCCACCAAAACGCCCACAAGCTCGAGCGAACACTCGCCAAGAAGAGCCGAGAGCTCATCAGGTCGACCTCGTCCGGTGGTTCAGGACACGTCATAGACGGCGACGCCTACTTCTCCGGCCGGTTCGAGCTCCACGGCCGTGGCTATGACCGGTACGTCTCACGCGGTCCAAGCCACCCCTCGGCTGACGTCGCTCGTCGGGGGCCTGAGAGTAGTGCTCATCAGGATCAAGAGTTGACCCATCTGGACTTGTCCCTCAGGCTTTGAACTAAACCTTATTACATCATTTGAGTCTTTGAAAATGCTCAATAATTTACTTTGATTCGCTCTTTACTGTTCACTGGGTAGACATTGCTTAGGGCAAAAAGACGGTCGAATCTTATCAAGTGAAGTATGCCCAAGTTGAATCCATAAAAACCCTTAGTTCCTCTCTATGTACATCGGTCGTACGTAAGAGATTTCCATCTAATGATAACGATTTTTCCTAGGCAATATCCGAGAACCATAAAGATCCTCGTATTTACAAGATTCGCACAACATATTCGCTTTCTAATGATAGCATTTCTTTCTGTGTTTTCGAATATTCCCGAGTTTTATTTTTTATTTTTGTTTTGCATGGAGAATCAGACGCAATTATGTTGATGTTGCTAAAATTAAGGAGGTGTGTGGATTTTTGGATTTGATTACAGACGTAATTAATTATTAAAGAGACTGACTGTATATCTATTAGTAGATGAAAAATGAATGAATGTCTTTCTTATACATATATTTACGATCATATTTCCATATTGCCCGACAAGCAGACAGGTTATGGGAAACTATATGTACGTTACCGATTTCTATATACACATCTATCCAATCATACAAAAGAAACCGTCAGTGATATATATGTGTATATATATACACATGTATGCAATGCAATTACTAAATCTATATATACATGCATCTCTTAATTAATTCATAAAGGTTGAATCAATTAAAAAAGCATTTTCCCCGACTTTTACCTAGATTTATATATGTTTACTAATTCACGTTTTTTTGTTAGCTGCGACCATATTATGATGGATGTTTTCTCGCAAATTCCAATTCGCTTGGTATTTTTTTTTGTAACTGAACGTATTTTGTATTGGAAACCCAAATATCCGGCACATATATATATATATATCACGTGTTGTAAGATGAAGAATGCACGAAAGTGACTTTGAATTCAGTAAGTCTGTGTCTGATTCGAGCAAGTCATAGAGATCACTTCCTCGGGATAATGTTTCCCTACCTCAATACCCAAAAAGAAGTTGAGAAGAAAAAGAGTCTTACGTAATTAATATGCTCGTATTATATATATATATATATGATTGAACATTCGACGTTAATAGGATTAGACTTGCGAACTATATGACGTTGATGCGATGTATAGGAATACATACGATTACTGTTCACATCAAATTTCTGTTACGAAAATAAATTAATTACAAATAGTATAATCGACCTATCGTGGTGGATTTCGGCGTAATCAGCTTGCCAAGCTACAGCAATTTCATTTAATAAAATTGTATTAAATATGGTGATTAATCTGTCGATATATATAACAAAATTATAAGAGAACAGTGAAATGGAATAGGGTTGTGAAGTTATTAAATGATGTTTTCATTTGTCCTGTTATTTAAGATGGGTAATAAAGTTGTAGACTCAATAAACTGACAGAAGTGGGGCCCGAACAGTAATCGAGTTCTGCATTAGAAACCATGACGTCTTCAAGTTTCAAACTCCATTTTCACAACATTATTATCGAAGGATTGATCTAAAGTCATATCAAGCAGGTTACTTTAATAATCATAGGGTTTTTTTTTCAAACATTATCTTAATCAAACTATAAACGATATAACAAATCATTCATATATATATATATATATATATATATATAAGATGTTGCGTTTTAAAATTGCACCTCAAGTGGGCTTCTTATTATATGTGTAAATAAACAAGTTGCGTCTTGAAATTGCGCTTCGAGTCAAAGGGTGGTGATTCCTTTCCCTCCGAGGTTCAAGAGTCAGTTCCTACTTACATTATTCGGACCATTTAAGGTCTGTATAATTTCGGTTTATTTTAGTTTTAGAAAAATGAAATTTATTTAGGTTTTATAATAAATTCGGTTTGGTTCTATTTTTTTGGTTTTGATACAAATAACCATTTTTAAATAATCGTTTTTTGAATTATTTTTTATGATTCGTATTCAATTTTTTATGTTATAAACATTATAACTATTTGGTTTTTATACAAAATTTGATTCACCCACTAAAACCGTTTAAATCCACTTAACTCATTTATCTATATATAATATGCATGGGGCCGACTGGTTACACCGCCGCCACCCGCAAACGGAGCGGTTGCGATTTTCGGTGGTTGCGGACGATTGAAAAACTGACCGGTTGAACCGCAACCGCAACCAAACTTGTGTTTTCTAATCGCAGCTTCCAACTTGCGTTTTGGTAGCGGTTTCCAGCGTTTTGACAAAAAAACTAAAATATTTTTATTAGAAATTATATAAAATATTAATATATATATTGGTGATGATTTTGTTTAGTGTTATGATTTGATATTATTTTTTAGTATTATATTTTAATTAAAAAAATACAATAGTATAATTTTTAGGTTTAATAATGATTATTTTTAATAATTTTTATAATAAAATTATTTTTTTACTTGAAAATAAATTAAATTGATAATATTTATATTTTAAATTTATTATTTAATTATTATAAATTTAGTAAATAATTTTTATCAAATGATACGAAAAATTTAATTAAAACTATTATAAAAAATTATTTTTAAATAATATTTTTTTTGACAATTTATATCAAAACGCAACCGCAACCGTAATGAACCATTCACTTCTAACTGCACCCACCCGCAATCGCTACCAACAGCAACTTCTCAACCAGTCAGTACTAATCATTTATAATCGCTATCAAACGTTTTGAAAACGCTGCCACCCGCAACCGCAATCGCTGCGGTACAACCAGTCGAACCTTTATAGGAATTTACATTTCAGTATTCGTATATATAAAATATTATATTTGATGCGGTTCATTTTTGATATTTTTTAGATTTTTTTTTATAATTTCGGTTCAATTAAAGAACGATATTGAATATATACGTGTATATATATGTAAATAGATATATATATATATATATATAATATTTCAATTAAATATATAATGAGTATACTAGGTTAAATGAATTAACTCATATAAAAAATCAAATAAATTTAAAATTTGGTCGGATCAATACGCTTAACCGGACTGACATCTCTAGCCACTACTAACACCATCTTAGCATTTTTTTAAGGTTTGCTTGGTGGACGAAAACATATTGCAGTGGCCTTAACAAAATATATTTGTAAAGCCCAATTTATAATTGGGCTTAAAGTAAGACTTTAATGTTCTCATATATGGTTGGGCTTTGCAAAGGGTCACCCCCCAAGTTCCATTCGAACCCATCCGAAAAATATCGTGTTTCGGATCTAAAATTATATGTATATATATAATTATACGAATATTCGGTACAATGTACCGAATGTATACACACAAAAATACCACGAAAAATGTAAATACAAACATCCAAGTTTGTTGGTAATGGGGTTCCTTTCCGGAGGTTTTGACACAAGAACTGTATCACACAAAGCCGACCAATACATAAATTGCTTTTATTTTGTTGGTTACAGTTTGAAGTGGGAAATACATATAAATTAAAAAGAGAGAGATGAAGTTAAGAGGAGGAGATGGTGGATTTGAGGAGGAGGAAGCGGGAGGGGGAGTAGAGGCGGAAGAGGCGGAAGGCGGAGAGAGCGGAGAGAAGGGTCATGAGGGCGGCGGCCAGGAAGCTGCAGACGACGGCCCCTCCGACCTGGAAGCAGAACCTCGTGTACTTGCTACACCATTCCATCCACTGCAACTCCTTCGACCCTCTCACCACCAGCAGCGAGTTCTCCGCCGCCGCGCATGTCCCCGCGTACACCGCGTACGCCGCTGTCTGCGATCAGGGCAAAACTCTACTCACTCGTGTGTCATAATGAAACTAACTAGTTGTGTGTATGTGTGTATGTATGCATCTAATTCTCTTGTTGTGCCAATTTAATCATCTCCCTTATTCCATCTTGTGTATGCATGGATGGACCCACTTCATATGAAGTGGGGTTACCCACTAAAAAACAAATTATATAATAAGCTCCACTTCATTTTTATAAATGCCCCCACTTTTTTTAATTATATTAGAAAATCAATAAAAAAATATCACATTTTTCTATGTTTTTAACATTCATCGTCATATTTTTTGCTTTTTATGTTCTTACATCTAAAACTATAACCAATTTAATCATACTAAAAAACATTATCATCAATTTAATCATAATCAAATATAAAAAAATAATAACAACAAAATTAAATATATGTAAACGTTATAATTTTTGTTTTAAACAATTTTTATTATTTTTATTGTTAATTTGTTTCTATATATTTATCATACATATAAATTTATTAATTATTATATATATTTATTTATTTACGTGTTTAATTTAGTAGATAAATCAAATGATAAATTTTTCTATTTTTTTTTTTTGCTTTGATATTACAAAATCGCTATAACATTTCAACCTACTAAATTCTCATGTTAGCCTCTAATATCTAAACAAATTGATTTAGATGATTTTCTTTCGAATCATGTTAATAGAAAAAAAAAGTATAATCCTAATTAAAAAGATAAGATAAAGTATAATTTTTGAAGTGATGGTATGATTTGTGTTCTATACGATTATAAATGAAATTATTATGTATAAATTTTAAAAAATTTAAAAATCGTAGAATCAATTACAAAACATAAATATTTTTGTGACAATATATTTTTATTATGTATACATATATTGCTCCCGGGGAAATATTTTTCCGAGTTTGCTGTATGTATGTGTGTGTATATATATAATGTATGTATGTGTGTGTATATATATATGTAAATGTGTGTATACCTGATCCAAAATATAGCAGAGCCAAGGGACGTAGACCGACTTCGAGTCCTTTTGCTGTTTAACCCTAAACCATAGATACCCCAACTGAAGCAGATTATATGCGGCAGCCGCAGCATCTATGTACATCCCGATTCTATACACGCAAAACGAATGGAATCATCAAATATATACGTCCCTTTTAAGAACTTTGTATTATACGAGGGCAGACCGAAAAATAAAATAAAAAATCATAATGGAGAGGATCGATCGATCACTGACTCGAGAGATTTCAAGACCCTGAAAGTGACTTTCTTGTGGTAGTAAGCGATGATTCTTGTCTGAGAATCGAAGCCGATCAGACAAGCGGTGAGGAGTAATATCAACGCCACGCTTAGCCTCACCGCAGCTTCTGCCGTTGTCAGATGCCTCATCCTCATCTTCATCCCCATCCCCCATTCATCCTCTCTCCTCTCTTTTATATTTCTCTTTTTTTTATTATATTTAAAATTAAAAAAAATGAAAAATGAAAAATAAAATTAATAGCACTTATTACAGAGAGCCCGTTTTGGTTGGTGGGCATTAGGGGTGTCAAACGAGCCAGCTCGGATCATTTTGGGCTCGGCTCATTTGGCTCGGATCGTTTTGGGCTCAGCTCGTTAGGCTCGTTTTCTAACGAGCCAGAAAAACCTCGGCTCAGATCGCTCGCCAATTTTCCGATCTGAACGAGCCGGCTCGTTGAGCCAAGGATATATAATATTTTTTATTTATATTTATTTTAAATATAATTATAAATTTAAATAAATACATAAAAATTTATTAAAACACCTATATCATTTAATATTTTCAATTATCACCATCATAATAATTAGTATATTTATAATATCATATAAATAATATGAAAAAAATTAATATAAAATTATATTAGAGTTTTTTTATATAAATTTAATTTATTTTTAAAAAAATACCAGCTCGTTGAGCAGCTCGCCAGCTCGCCGAGCCAGACTCATTGAACACGTGTTCAATGAACTCTGGCTCGTTAGACTCGTTTTTTAACGACCTGAAAAAATTACGGCTCAGATCGCTCGTTTTCTGGCGAGCCACGAGCCAGCTCACGAGCCGGGCTCGTTTTGACACCCCTAGTGGGCATCCACAGATAGCTTTACATGATTAGCGAAACTGTTAGGTTTGCATTTATTGAACATTGAAATCGCATTTTCATCACACTTGGTTTACATGAAATTTGATTCTACGCATGTAATGGACCCACTCCGGTGGCATCTGCATGCATGTATATTCCACAAGTGCAAAATTTTGGATGCCTGCCATTAATTTTTTTTTATATATATTATATAGGTTTTACGAAAATCTAAAATTTGTATATGATTAATATGGTAGGGATGATGAGTTTCATAGATGAACAAGGCTCCTAATTCTTACTCATTTTCTAAAAAAACTTCTAAAAAATATCTGAGTTCATAGATTTTTAAGGGTTAATGAAAAAAATTTATGGTGAAATGTAGGAGTGGCTTACTCGGGATTCGGTTCATATACAGTTCAGTTATATTCGGTTTCGGTTGTTTCGATTTTAGAAAATTATAACTATTCGATTTTATATTGAATTTTGTTCGGTTCAATTTTGACAAAAATACTCATTTTTAAAATAAAATATCGATTTTTGTTTTTATTTTTATTCGGTTCAATTCGGGTTAAGTTTCGATTTTCGGTTATTAAAAAATTATAACCATTCGATTTTATATCGAACTTGGTTCCGTTACAGTGTTATTTGGTCATCAAGCAAAGTGTAACCAAATCAAGCAAAGTGTATATTCTGCCCAAATTAATATGCGTGGGAGTATCAAGTATGTAAATAAATATACTAAATGAAACTACCTCCCTTCTCTATCTTTGTGATTTTGTAGCAACTACTCCATAGTCCGAATATGCTGTTGTCTCAAAGTGGACCGGTGAATCGATTATATATTTTTAACTACGCATTGACCATATTTTATAATTATGATTATATATATATATACACGTTCACAAAAGTGGCAATTAAATTGAAAAAAAATGGCGAAAATTAATAGTGGCCAACATTGATAGAGAGGGCAACAACTTGCGGTGAAACATCATTGTCGAATTAATCCTTTTGTTACCTACGTAAGTGCACGAAGACTCGAGACACCGTCGCGTTACAGCTTGGACTGTCTTCTTTTATTTGCCCCTAAAACAATAATGTGAATTTTCCTCTTTAATGTTTCGGCCCTATTGGTTAGTTGGACCAACCAACAAAATCCATTAAATCTTCTAACTTTAGTCCTTCTCTTTCATCTTCTTTAAGACAAAGACACTTACCATTTGATTATTGATTCATTTCACTATTATTTATTACAGTTTTTTTATTGAGAAATTATGTCATTGTTTATTAAAAAAGTTAGAAATCATGTTACTGCAAATTAAACTTTTGTCCGTACCACAGCTCATACATTTAATTAAGGGAAAAAAAACAATTTCCACGATGCCCATATGGTTTACTTTTTGAATAATAATAATAACAATAATAACAATAATAATAATAATAATTATTATTATTATAATAATGTTAATAATTATAATAATAATAATAATAGTATGCATATTGTTTGGTTTTTGTTTCATATATCTAAATAACCGTTATTTGGATTAAATGCTCAAAGATTTTTTCAGTCAATTTCATGATTCGGTTATATACATCTCCAATTCATTTTAAGTGTGCATAATCTATTTTAAAATATATTCCTCTTGTTTTAATACGAGTTTTTAGGGAGAATTTCAACGTTTCCCGTTGATTTATAGGTTTCATAATTTTCTAAAAAATAATGTATTATGGAAAAAAAAAAGTCCAAAACGATTCTTACTATGAATTAGGATTATACCATTAATTTTCCTAATTTTTTTTTGGTATTACATTAAAAGCATCGTAATGGGCTTTTAAGAATCTATTTTTCTGTATCCATTTCTCTGTATCAAGTGCGAGTTATTGGGCCGTTTAAGGGCCCACTATACTCACGTGATGTATATTAATGATTTTGAATCCTGACAAATGCACATACACACATACACGAGAGATCAAGAAATAAGGAGTCTCTATCGATACGTTTTATTATCTGAATAATTGATTGGTTTGATTATTTTCCCGAAAATGGTAGAATTTTGGAATATTTATTTTAAGATTCGGAATTGATTTTACTAAAAGACAAATCCCATGCCTTTAAAGTCTGCATGGAGTCAGAATGAATATGAAAAAATTCGCAATGTATTAAATTCCTTCATTAATGTCAGATCAAATATTATTATTTTAATATAATTTTTAATATCACGTGATATTTAAATTGTTCTAATTGATTTAAGCTGAAGAGTTTTAGGGTTAAATATATTGAAATAAGAATGACCATAGACTAGATCATTTCCTTTGGACAACTTTTTGCTCAAGGAATGAATACGTAGGGACATGGAATCCATTATTTTTATACAAATTTAATTTTACTCTGTGGAAAATAACAATTTAATTTAAAATTTTATAAAAAAATATTTTTTTTTAATTAAATGAATGGGCCTCATTCATTTCTACATGAGTCTGCCCATGGTATGCATCGGGGTGAGCGATATGTTTTTTTTTTTTTGATAATCGGGTGATCTCAAACTCAAAGGTCCAGACTAATCACAACCCACGCGTACGACCCTACAACACACATGTGGGATGTGAAACATCCGAAGGTGGTAGGAGGGGAATCTCCATACTCTGGGTGTTGAACCCACGACCTCGTTTACAGGAAGGGACTCTCAAACCAACAGAGTTGGGGATTTTCCGCGATATGTTTTTAAGGCGTGGTATTATTTCATTCGAAAAAGTTTAAGTCATAAATAAATACATTTGGCATGTGGAAATGGATTGGTGACAACAAATAATGAGAGCCAAATCCCAATTTGTTTCACCTTAATCCCATATAATTAACGGTCAATTGAGAAATGGATTCCCTCCAAAACACAAGTTGCAAATCAGAAACACGACATGAAGAACTTCTTGTCGACGAGATTTGTCGGATTCACGAATCGATCTCAAGGCTAAAGTCTTTAAAGCCATCCAAGGCTCCAAGCAAGTGAATGCCCTCTTCACTCTTCTCGTTGACTTATGCGCTCGCCCTTCCTCCGTTGACGTTAACTCTTT